GGCCTCTCCCGTTGCGGAGCACAGGCTCCGGACGCGCAGGCTCAGCGGCCATGGCTCACGGGCCCAGCCGCTCTGCGGCACGTGGGATCTTCCCGGACCGGGGCACGAACCTGCGTCCCCTGCATCGGCAGGCGGACTCCCAACCACTGCGCCACCAGGGAAGCCCTCATTCAGTTGTTTTAAATGACATCTCCGACAACTCCCAAATTGAGATCTCAGCCCCAACCGGCATCCCTGTACTAAACTTGCAGCCAGGTGTGCATCTCCATCTGTGTATATAACAGGTCCAAAGCTGAGCTCCTGATCTCTCTACCCTAAAACCAGCTCTTCCTCAGTCTTCCCCGTCTCAATCAGTGGCAACTCTGTTCTTTTCACTGCTCAGCTCCAAACCTTTGGAGACATCCTGACCCCCCTCTACAATCCATGAGCCCCTTCCTGCAAGCTATAGCTCTCGCCCCGCTCTCCTCACACCCTGGCAGCCGCCGTCTCATCCAAGCCATCTCATGCCTGGGTCAGTGTGGTGGTCTCCCAGTCTGTCGCCCTGCCCCGTGCCCCCCCACCCCCCCCCCACCCGCCATCTCCACACAGCAGCCAGAGTGATCCTGCTGGGATGTTAGGTGAAATCATGTCACACACACATGCCCCCACCCTCCGCACTGCCCACTCCACACCCTCCTTCGGTCCTCATCTCACTCAGAGGAAGAGCCAAAGTCCCCTGAGGTCAGGAACCCCATCCAGCAGGTCCTCACCGCCCCACCCCTCTCACTCACTGGGCTTGGGCAGCGCCGCCCTCCTGGCTGCTGCTCAGACACTCCGGGCCTCCAGCCCGCTCCGGGCTTCCGCCTGCTATAACCCGTCCCTGAGAGCCGTGTGACGTGCACCAGGTCTTCACGGAAATGTCATCTTCGTGGTGACACCTCCCCCACCCCCCTTACAGTCACTCCCCAGCAATCCCTGTGTCCCTTGCCTACTCCACCTCTCCAGAGCACTGCTCTCTGACCTTCTGTAATCATTTACTTCTTTACTTCGCTGATGTCCGCCTGTCCTCACTAGAAGGTGGGCTCTGAGGTTAGGACATTCTGTGTCCCCAGGAGTTACAACAATTCCTGTCACACAGTAGGTACCCAGTAAATACTTGGTAAACGAATGAATGAGCTGTTTTCCTGTATAGAGTAGTAGCTTTCCTTGACAGAGTAAATTAAATAATCATTGGGGAAATTGGTTTATGGAATTTATTCAGACTTTTGGAAGGCATTTGACAGGGCTCGACCCCAGAAAAGATCTCTGTGAATCACTGTGTCACTGAGTTACTGTTTTAAAAATAGGAGTTGGAACAATAGGGTCTTTCTCTGCTTAGAAAAGTTGTAATACTAGAAATGGATACTAGAAAATTACAGTGTTTTAAAATTGATGGTCTAGAGAAAGAACTGAATAGTGAGATTTCTAAGGTTACAAGGCCTCTGAACTCTGGTGGGAAGATTCCAGACTGAGAGTAGACCAACCCCACGCTGGGTGTGCATCTGGCAGTGCCTGGGGGCTCCTGATGGCCACTCCCTTCTGCTGCAGGCTCTGCTGAACGGAGTGCCACCTTCCTCAAAGCCCGGCTCCCCTGCCCTCATTGAGACCAAGGAGCCTAACGGGAGCATCCACACCAGCGGCTCCACGTCCGAGGAGCCAGATGCCCAGGTACGTGCGGGGCGAGGCCCGGGATGGCCTGGCCTCTGTCTTTGGTGGCTGTGTAACCTTGGGCTGGTCACCGCCCCGCCCCCTGGCCTCACGGTCTCCTCGTCAGTTACATGGGGTGGAGGTGGCTGAGGTCAGAAGAGGTGCTCACCTCTGAGGCCTTGTCTGGCTCCCATGTCCCAGAATCCTAGAGATTTGAGGGCAGTAAGGACACCCACGGAAATTTCTCTAGGATCCAGGGCTGTTTCAGAAGTGACACTAAAGGGCTGGGCTCACCTCTCTGGTTAGGTCCAAACCCCACAAGTCCTGTGCACAGATGAGGGGTTTCCAAAGGAATGAACAGGCTGGCTCCCTGAGGATGGGATGCACCTTGGGAGAGCGTCCAGGATCCATCCACTACTAAAGAGCTTCCTGAGTATATCCACCGACAGAGGCCAGTGCTGAGACGGGTCTCGGCCTCTGGAGGCTGCCGTGAGCTGGTCGGCCACACCGCTAGTCTCGCTGCAGGGGAGAGAGAACTGCCCCGTGCCTGTGGATCATGTGCTGGAAGACAAGAGGGTAGAGGGCTGAAGATAAACTGGGTTTTCCTTGAGCACCACAGCACTCAGTAACTTTTCCCTATTGTGAGTTTCTTGATCGAAAGTGTTAATACATACTCAGTGTAACTCACTAACAAGAAGGACGCAGAGGCTTAGCAGCCTGTGATTTTCTTTCCTCACAATTAGCCAGTGTCGCACTGCTCCCGATACGCTTCAGGGACAGAGGTTCCTGGTGCTGGAACAGAACATCCACATCATGTTACGGAGAAGAAAATTGGGGCTGGGGTGGACATGGATTATACGGGGTCAGACTCAACCAGCAGCACGCCTGAGCTTAAGCCCGGGGTGTCTTGATTCTGGCTTCCAGATACACTCTTGGACCCGTTCAGACAGCTCTAATCAGCCCATTCCCAGTTGTTATTTGGGCTGATGGCTGTGTAACCATAGTCTGGAGTCATGTGTTTGGAGCGGAGGCTTTTCCTTTGTGACCAGGAATAAAAATGGTAGGGGGTACCCCAGTCCTACCACCCCACTAGTAATAAGGATGTTATTTTCTCTCCATAGCTTTCCCCCTCAGGTCTTCCTCCCCCAAATGAGCCAGATCTGAGCTCCTTTAAGAGCGCCCTTAAGCGTAGGGTTGGGGGTCTTTTACATCCCCAAGGATGCCGCAGGGTATGGCTGTGTGACACCCCCATCCTCGTAGCAGGAGGTGCCAGGACCCCACTGACTCAGCAGCAGTCTCAAATTCCAGGTCTCCCACTCGGGCACCCGGTGGCTGCTCCCCACGCCGCCATTAGTGGGCGATCACTGCAGAGCTTCTGTTAGGGGCTACAGGGCCTGGGACCTGGAGTCCCAGGGAAACCAGGAAGGACTGTGGCTTTTGGGTCCACACCCAAGCAGGACGGAGCCACGTGACAGCACTGGGAAGACTTTTCCCGAGAAATGATCTTGAGACTCAAGGGGCTGGTGCTCGTGTGATCCCTTTAGTTCCCCCTCCCCACAATACCACCCTGTCTTTCCCCAACTTCTCCCCCCTCCATCCCGCCTGCCCCCCCAACTCCGCCACACTGCTTTGCAGGCTGACAACCCCTCATTCCCCAACCCTCGCCGGAGGCTGCGGCTTCAGGACCTGGCCGATCGCGTGGTGGACGCCTCCGAGGATGAGCACGAGCTCAACCAGCTGCTCAACGAGGCCCTGCTGGAGCGGGAGTCCGCCCAGGTGTAAGTGGCCCCTCAGGCAGCTGGCCCCTTGCCCTTGGCACGTGCCTTGTCTGGCCCAGGAAGTCAGTCATCGTAAATACGGCCCCTTCCGGGCAGGCAGAGACAGATGTGATGTTTGCATCTCATAGGGCTTGTTTGCACTGCAGGGTGAGGAAGAGAAACACCTTCTTCCTGTCCATGCGGTTCACGGACCGCGAGATGGAAACGCGCTACTCGGTGGAGAAGGAGAAGCAGAGCGGGGCCGCCTTCAGCTGTTCCTGCGTCGTCCTGCTCTGCACCGCCCTGGTTGAGATTCTCATCGACCCCTGGTGAGGGAGGGGCAGGGCCGGCCCTGACAGCCAGGGGAGGGTGGAAGGTGCCGAGCTTCCTAGGCCAGAGGCCTGCGGGGTGTGGGCCTCAGCTGGAGCCTGACGCAGGGGCGCAGGCTCTGTTCCTTGCCCCCCATCCCCCGGAGCAGCCCCCGGGAATGCTGGGACGGCGCCCTGGACCCCCTTCCTTCTCTCTGCTCCTCGGTCCTAGAATAGCACGCGCGTCAAAGTGGGGGTCACACCAGGGTTGAGAAGGCTGAGGGAGGAAGGGTCCGGGGGGATGGAGACCTTGGCTGGGTGGGTCTGAGTGGCTCTGGGACAAGGAGACAGGACGGGGACGCTCCTCAACCTCGGTCACCACGGCTCATCGGCTCCCTTTCTTGGCTCGTGTTATAAAAGACAGATTTCAGGCTCTGGGTGCAGACTGGTCTCTCTCACAGCAGCAGGTCCTCTGGGGCAAGGCAGGGTGTTCTGGAATCCTTGCCCCCGTCTGCTGAAGCCCAACTGAAGGATCGCTGCCCCCTCCCTTCCTCCCTTTCTCCCCGTGGCCGATCAGCAGCTCCCTCCAGCTCAGGGATTCCCCACCAGAAAGGAGGGGGTGTGGAGCCCTCTTCTGATCAGTTTGGGGAACTTAAAGAGCCTTGGACTTGTCACATGGTCCTAGGTTCTGGACTCGGCTTGCTCACTTATTTCTTCTGTGACCTTGGGTGCATCACTAAGGGTTCCTGGAGCATCAGTTTACTCATCTGTAAAGTGAAAGATGATGATGATGATGATCTGAAGATAATAAAACCTGCCCACGCTAACTCAGAATTGTTGTGGGGACCAAATTCATTCATTCATTTCACAAATATTTGCTGTCTACTTTGTGCCTGGGGCTAAGGTCTAGGGATACAGCGGTGAATGCTGTGACCCTCAGCAGCCTTCAGCAGTAAGCGTCTCTGTTCTGTGCTCTCCCCTTTCATCATTGCGACACGGCAGAATGCTTGTTCTAAGAATCCCTTCCCAGGTTTTACTGGGCTCTGCACAGGGCATCTGTGAGTCTGTCCTTCTTTAAGAAATGTCCCAAAGAACAGTTACAGCTGGGGAGGGTCCCATGTCCCCAGGCCCTGCACACAGCCGGCAGCAACTCCCTGGTATCACATGGAACTTCTCGGGTACAGGCTTGTGCCTTGCTTAGGGGGCCTGCCCTGTGTCTCCCTTCCTTTACTGTCCTGGCCCCTGACCCAGCCCACTACTCCCTCTGGTCCTCTCCTGGATTGTTTTCTCTCTCTCACAGGCTGATGACAAACTATGTGACCTTTGTGGTTGGCGAGGTCCTGCTCCTGACCCTGACTGTCTGCTCGCTGGCTGCCATCTTTCCTCGGGTAAGAAGCACTTTTCCTTTTGGCTCAGAGATGTCTGGAAGTGAGCATCGCTCCCTGTGAAAGTGCGTATTGATGGAGTTGTGTCCTGTCAGATCCTGACAAGTAGAGGACTTCCGTTGGGGTGGCTCAGGCACTCATCCATTCATACATTACACACGTCTTCATTATCGGCTCTGCACCCACTTTGGGCCAGGCCCTGGAGCGCGCGTGGGTGGGTGAGCCAGAGTCTACATAAATGGGAACCTGTGTAGAAAAGCAGTAGAGGCCCAGCTAGAAGGTGGAATGGCTCCAGTTGTGAAGGACCCTGAAAGCCACACACAGAGATTGAGACTTTCTCCTATAAGCACTGGGTGCCAGGCAGAGTTTTTGATCAGAAAAAAAGGGAAAAGCAGCATTTTAGGAAAATGAATCTGGCAGGTGGCTTGTGAGTAACTTGGGGGATTTAGGTACACTGACCCAGGGAAAGCGGGAGTAAGTAGCCAGGCAAAGACGGCCGGCCCTGAAAATTCTCCCCTAACGTGGCTTTGCCGCCCAGAGACAGCGAGTGGACTGCTGCTGGTGGTGCTGTCCACAGGCTCAGGCCGGTCGCCGCGCAGCTCTGGGAAGGGCTCTGATATCTGGCAGCCGTGGTGTGTCACCTGCACATCCAGCAGGACGGGCAGACAGAGCTGGGATCCGCGCCTTCTCAGTTCTGCCGCAGCCAGGTTTTGGTTGACGCACACACGCGGCACTACTTTCCAGGTTCCTGGGAAGTATGGGAGCGAGCAGAGTGGTTAGCAGTCATGTTTACAGGGGGAAGGCTGTCAAGACACAAGGGCCTGGAAATTCCATCCTTCTAGGCCTTTCCTAAGAAGATCGTGGCCTTCTCGACTTGGATCGACCGGACGCGCTGGGCCAGGAACACCTGGGCCATGCTGGCCATCTTCATTCTGGTCATGGCAAACGTCGTGGACATGGTGAGCCCCTGCTGTCCTGTTGAAGGGACGCCCACTCTCAGAGGAGGCTTCTGGATTAGCCTGCATGAGCAGTTGCCAGCCCATTTCCCCACCCCCAACAGACACAGGTTTGGAGTGGCACTTAGGTTCCTAAACGATCATCCTGGCCAAACGGCGGGGTCTTCTCCCCGGGATGCCTCTGAGACTTCCTTGTCTTCCCCAGTTCCTCACTCTCCCCGGGTCCAGGAGCCCAGCGCCAGGCACCAGCTCCTTTCTGGGTGGTTTACATATGCTGTCTCATTTAATCTCTATAACAATCCTGAGAGGTCAGTATCATTTGTAGTTTCATGTGAAAAAATGATGCTCAGAGAGGTTAAATCACTTGTTTTAGGTCACACAGCCAGTAAGTAACAGAGTGGAGAATTGAAGCGGTTCTAAATCCCCGTCCTGTGTTTTCTCTCTCCATGTCTCACTGTTCAGGGGCCCCAATACTCCTAAGCTTTCTGTTTATCTTAAGTATTCCCTACAGTGTGGCTAGCATCAGGCATCCATCAGGACGAGGGAGGTAAACCGGCTCCACCAGAGGAGCGCTCCTGTTTGGCCTTCATCCATTTGAACAAGGCCACACCTTCCAGAGGTGGGTCACTGGGATGGCAATTTCACTGATCCCAGATGGCTAGCGGTAGACGAAATCCTCTGCTCTGTTGTCCTCAGTTCATGTGGGTCCCGTGAGGGGGCAGCAGAGGCTTTCTTGGGGAGAAGGGATGGCAGTGGGAAGCCACCAGCCAGTTCCTGAGCACTGGGCACTTGGAGCTGTCACTGGTGCTCTCTGGTCAGGCCTCCCAGCTCCCTCCAATGTTGGTAGTACTGTACCAGATACACTCTCTTAAGAGTCCTGCTTTTTGCAAATATAATGTTATATTATTTGCTTTATTATCTTTAACAATTGAAGCATGGGAGAAAAGTCAGCATGGAGACTTATTCTGGTAGCAGTGTACGTGAGAAGCCCCAGGGCCAATTGATCCAAAGTCCAACAGGAATGGAGTTAGGAGCTCCAGAACCTGACACGCCCAGGGGTTGCTGGTGGCCACAGGGCAGGGAAGAAAAGGCCTGGGCCCCTTGCGTGTCAGGACACCCCCCCTGGAGCCTGGTGCCGAGGTCTGGGAGCCACTGTTTGACAGGGTCATGGACACTGGCAGGACATCTGGAAGTCCTGTGGAGGGGAGAAAAACTAGGGAGGTGTGAAACTTTCCACGTGCTAGACTCACATGCTGAGAGCCTCCCCAAAGCCAGACAAGCACCAGTGGGTGAAAATGAAGACAAGTAGGTTTGATTCGGTTTATGGATGCACTTTCCATTGACCACGTCTGCCCAGCAGTGGGACCGGCGACCAGACTCCAGAAATGAAGGGTCTGAGTGGAGACTGGCTGCCGTTGCAGTGAAGCTCTGAGGAGCGGCCTGGCTGGCTCACGGCCCCTCCGGAAGCAACAGAGTGCTGTGGGCAAGTGCACGTTGGGTTTGAAACCTAACGAGCGGACTCCTGGTTCTGGCTTTGCTGCTTGCTAATTCCACCACTTTGGGCAAGGGCGGCCTCTCCGAATTTTCCCTATGATGGTGGCAGCACTAAAATACTCAAGAGAATTTTCATGACCATCAGGGGAGATGATGGTAAAGCTCTTAGCAGGAATTAACTGACTTTTGTATTACTGTGCCCTGGTAAATTTTTCTTCTTTCTCGGTGTTTCTGAGGGAGCCGTGGGAAGTGGCAGCTGCCACAGCCCCGCCTTCTCTGACCAGTGTCTGCTGTCCCCTTGCACCCCGCGCTCTCCCCTACGGTCCTGGCCTCCAGCTTAGCTGTCTCCAGTACTACATGGGACCCACCAACGGCACCTCAGGGGTGCAGATAGAGGACGGCTGCGTGGAGAACCCCAAGTATTACAACTACGTCGCTGTGCTGTCCCTCATCGCCACCATCATGCTGGTGCAGGTCAGCCACATGGTCAAGCTGACACTCATGCTGCTCATCGCAGGGGCTGTGGCCGTCATCAACATCTACGCCTGGCGCCCCATCTTTGATGAATACGACCGCAGACGCTTCCAAGAACACGAGTAAGATGAAACCTGTTTGGGGATCTGCATAGTCTCCTTCCTCCCACCCCCCAGGCCCTGTTTCAAGGTCATGGGTCTGCACTGAGCTGGCCGTCTGTCTCTAGGGCTCATCCACGGCTTGTATGGGAATCAGGGTTTGTGGTTTCTCACAGACGGGCCACTGGTTGGCTGTGATCCCAGGACACATCCTTCCCCTTCTTGAGGAGTTGAAGACCTGGGTCACCTCAGTGTTTGGCTGGGCACCAGTCTCTTGTACCCGATGGGGCCTGAGTGTGCTATTATCTGTCCCAACAGCTTTCCGATGGTGGCCTTAGAGAAGATGCAGGTACCTTCCAGCCCTGGGCTCAATGGCACTGACAGGTAAGGGTGACCGCTTTCCCATCCTGGTCTGCGTTTTCGGCTCCTTTCTTCTAGAGGCAGGGAATACAACAGGCCAAAGCCCCATGGTCTCATCCTTCCAGAGGCACGTGACGTGGGATAGTCAAGCTGGAGAAGTGAGTGTGTGTTTCTGTAGGGAGACTGCAGCAGACTTCAGTGCTCATCTGGCCACACTGGCCTCTCCTGAGTCAAAAAGAGTGAGGCCTGGCGAGCAGTGTGGTTTAGACGGTGGGATAGAGAGCAGGCTGGGCTGAGGTGAAAAGAGAGCAGCCAACTGGAGGACAGCTGCGTTTACCGGCTGGCAGGACAGACGGCAGAAACAGGAGCGGGAAGGAACACTATTGCATTCAAACTAGAAGACCTGGATTCTGAACCCTGCCGCAGTGATTCTCTGTGGGGCCTCAGGCCACTTTTCCTGAGTCTCAGTTTTCATCTCTTGAAGAGGCTATCAGACGAGAAGTTCTTCAAGGTCCCTTCTAGCTCTAAAGTTTTAGAATTGTATGATTCAGTGACTTGACTAGACTTTTAAGTAAGTTTTAAAAAAAAAAAGATGACCTAACAGAAGGTGGGTAGAAGCCTTGAAGAGTGTTTCACAAAAGAAGAAATCTAACTGGGCACTAATAAATGAAAGGCATTCAGGTAACTGAGGTCGTGCAAATTCAGACCACTGTGAAAGACCATCACACCCCTATCAGTTTGGCGAAAATTAAGAAGTCTGATCACATCGTGTATAATAATGGTAATGCATACATTCCTGGTGGGAGTATAAACTGTTACAACCATTTTAGAAAACAATTTGGAGCTAATTAGTACAGCTGAAAGTAGACCTATTCCACAGCTATGTGTACACCTTAGAGAAACGAATGCACATATATATGTCCCAGGATACATGAACAAGAATGTCCACAGTTGCACTGTTTATAATAACCACACACACCTACAAACATCCAAAACAAATGAGAACGACCCAAATGACATCAACAATGAACAGAGTATATTCATATAATAGAATACCGTACAGTAATGGAAATGATGTACAGCTCCACACAAAAATATGGGTGACGGTTATACAAAAGCATGGTGGAACTGTGCCCTCATCCCATCCCCGAGATGTTAGTTAGTCTCTCCCGTCTCCAGATTCCTGGATGGTTGCAGCTACTTTTGTGATCAGTCAGGTGATGCAGTGTTTATTCAACATCCGGGGAGCATCCCCGAAGGCCTGATGTGGATTCCAAGTGCAGCCAGGAGGAGCCAGGAGTTGGTTGGCTGTTAAGACAAAAACCCAATGATTTCAGAAAGCTTTACTGCCTAGTGGGCATCTGGACTTGATGCGGAGGCACTTAAGCCGCTGAGAGAAGTCTCTGGGTGACAGGAAACAGCACAGCCAGATCAGAGGGAATAGAGCCCCCTCGTGAGCGGGCAGCACGGCGCCCTTCAGCTGAGTTGTCCTCGGTCCCACAGGCTGCCCCTGGTGCCGTCCAGGTGCTCGATGACAGGGATGATCTTCGTCATGACGCTCGGCTTCTACTACTTCTGCCGCCACGTGAGTGCCTGCGCCCCCCCCCCCCCC